ATATACAACAGGGGCAGGTGATGGTCGTTCCAACCTACCTGGGAAACATGGTCTTGTGTTTGGTATCATGTGGAACGATTGTACCTCGGACTGCGAATGTCGTTTTGCTTATATTATTCGAGCTGGAAGTTACGAACTAACTCGGAGAACACACCAACACCGACACGTGTTCTTGTCTCAGACATTTTTATGAAATTGGGAACTCACCAATGAATTATTGAGATTTCGTAGTATTTCTAGTTTTTCTCCCGAGCACGATGGGGGTCTATATACATCATTTTTCAAACAAAATCACCCTGAAATGTGTATAGTTTTTAACTTCCTGCGCTCATATTTATGAGCTTATATTGGACGATGATTATCTACTTTAGAGTGACCGCATATAGACATTTGTAAATCTTTTTCTCCCACACAAGTAGAAACCCACGGTCACAAATCTGGTATCTGGATCTGGCTCTGGTGTCACCTGACTCAGATAGAGTTGTTTAATCCAATTTCCAAGAATCTTCCTATGAAATTACACATGACACTGTTCCGGTCGTTTATCGAATGACAGATGGGGCTAACTTGATTATCCTACTGTTCGATAAAAGGACTCTGACGTCTTTTCTTCATGACAGATATTAACATTACTTTATACGTACTGCATTAACCTCACTTGTGACGCACCTGACGCAGCCTTTTCGTGTCTCATTCCACTCCAGGTCTTACTTACATTGGCCTGCCTCGTCGGTGTGATTTTGTATAAACTGGCCATCAAGATTGTGCTCTATCAGCAACCGAATCTGATCGTTCAAAGCACGGCCGGTATGATCACCACCATGACGGGATCGGTGATCAACTTGATTTTCATTTTTATAATGAAAATGGTAAGTGAACCCCCCCCCTCCCTCCCTCCCTCATCCCAGACTGCTTGTCTGTGTTCCCTCGATTCCAGTTTCTCTCTCGGAGTATGTGTTGCGACTGTATCATTCACTCTACTAAATCGACACTATGCTTTCTCCTCAATCTGAACGCTTTCAGATCTACGATCGTATGGCAGTGAAATTGACCGACTTGGAACTGCATCGGACCCAAGTGGAGTATGATAACAGTTTAACTTTAAAATTGTACTTGCTACAATTTGTGAACTACTACTCGTCCGTGTTCTATATCGCATTCATCCAGGGCACAACTTCGGCACTTCCCGGTTCCGACACCCTGATTGTGCAGTCCACCGGAGTGAGTCGTCAGTTCGTTTGCATTTCACTTCTGTGCCACAATGCCAATTGCTAATGTGTTGGTTCCATTTGCGATTTACGATTCATATTGCTCACGTGATGCAATCGTCTTATCTCTACCTTAATGGTCTCTATTCACGTTCACGCTGACCCGCATGTCTGTATGTGATCAGACTTTGGCATTGGTAAGTAACGTGCACTTCGCCTCAGTTTTACATCCTGGCGAACAGTTACGTGAACCAATGATGAGGTCGTCCTGTGTGTGTTTGCGTACTAGTATAGTGCTCGAAGTGATGCATGATCGCTGTAGCTAGACAGACTCACATCTACGACGTTTCCGAGTGCCGGTTTCATGTGGTTTTTCAATTTGTTCAAGTGCAAAAGCCCTATGAGACTAAATGAAAGAGTTGGACGACACGACCTCTAAAGTTCTTCTGGATGAACATTTGTCGAAAAGATAGGGATTTGCAGCTGTAGAAGGATCACCTTATGAAAAGTGGCAAGCCTTATACGGGATGGTGTCTCCTACATCTTTAACTCATGAAAATGAAAAGATCAGCTGTGTCGTTGGGGTTCGATTCCACATACGAATACCAGTCATTTTTGCTCAATGTGCTCTCTACTTTAGGTTTTCTCGGTCGTTTAGTAGCCTCCAACTATACTATTACGCCTGTAGACTAGGGGCCAGTAAACACAGCCCTTTGACACCCCCTGTACTCGAGGTCACAGCATGTTTGAAGTTTTGAATCGGGAGCCTAGCTTGAGGCGCCAGAAAATTTTCCGTTTGGTGAAGTAGGGATCCTAAAGAAACTATTGTTTTATTGTATTATTTGAATCGACCATCCTTTAGACTTCAGCTTCATGCATACTCCTCAATCCTTCCCGTCAACCATACACTTGAGAAGTACTAGACTCGAGTTTCACTGTCATTATAGCTCATCAGTAGTGCATACCCACCGTCCCGTCCGGGATTTGGACTCCGGACCCATCGCATGAACAGTGTGTGTGATCACTCTGCCAACCAGCTCATACGAAGGGTCCGTAGTGACTTTTAGAAAGTTCTGACATCGTTTTTGCCCACTACTTATCATGCTGCTCCATCATCACGACGTGATTGAGATCATGGCTCGGTTCGTCACGTACGACGGATCAGGTCTAGGACCATTGGAATGCAGCAACCATTGTGTTTTAGCTTCGTAAAGTTAGGTTCAGGATTTCCACTCCGACGACTTCGGTTGTTAAATGCATTTTGACTTGTATTAGGGAGGCTCTTTGTAGGTGAGCTTAATGCATCATTGTCTATCTGGTAACCGGTTATTCTTTTCTCACACGTGCTTAGCCAGGCCGGTTTCCGTTCTCTAATCCTTTTTGAATGTTGTATCATCGTTCGACCGACATAACTTACCGAAAATTATTTTATTATTCACACCCACCGGGATTGGGCCTTGGAAATGTTCAAAAAATTCTCAGGTAAGGGGGCTTAGTCCATTTTAATAATAATATTGAGAATGAGAAAGGAAGGCAGGAGCAACGCAACCGTTGTTTTTTTATTTTGTTGGTATCTCTCACCTGTAAATCAACTCAGGTGGTTGGGGTCGGGTAGACGTAGCTTAGACTACAATGCATGAAACCTCTAATCACGCTCGATCGTTGAGGTCAGTTCGCCGATCACGATTGCGCATTCCATCTTAACTATCATCTCTCTATGTATCTAGCCCTCGATCGGTGAGCATACGTTGCGATTGCTCTCGTCAGTATTCTTTTCTGTCT